GCCCTCCTTTTCCTTTACCCATTGGATTGGGCTTTGATTTTTCTGGAGGCAAAAAACGTTAACCCCGCGCGTTTCTTGTTTTGATTGCCCCCACCGGGTTCCCCACCAGAACTGGGGGAAAACCAAGTACTTTGTAAAAAAGACTCCCCCGGAAAGGTTGAAAAAGGGGGGGGGGGGGGGGCACAGTGGAACCATTTTTTGTGTTTTTGTGGGGGGGGGTAGAGGAACGAGAACCGGGGACCGAAGCAACTGGAGTTTGTGGGCGTGTTTTTGCAGTGTGGTCACCTCACGCCGGCGACCAGCTGGTGCCGAGGGTGGTTAGGTTGTTCGTCGCCGTGTGTGGTATGTGCTTCTGTGGTAGTGGTGGGAGGGGCAGGACTGCCTACGCAAATGTGTCACGTTTTTTTCTCCGCTGCCGCTGCCTGCGGGATTCGCGGTATTCTCACGTGGTAGAGCACCGAGACAGCGGTGTTTTTATGTATCACCCCGAAGTGTTCTCAAACGTGGAACGTGCGTCGCTCTCTGCACCCTCGTCTATTTCTGCCGTTCTCCCCCCCCCCTGACAAAAAAGATGAGCATCGTCATCAAGGCAGAGGGAGAGGCGCAATCGGCCAAGCTGGTCGGAGAGGCCATCAAGGACAACCCGGGGTTCATCCAGCTCCGACGCATTGACGCGGCGAAGGAGATCGCGTCCACCGTGGCAAGGTACGAACGTGGTAAATACATGGTTTTTTCTATTGTGGTGATTCAGTTTTTTTTTTTTTTTTGTCTCCGAACATGTGCGTACAAGTATATATTTTCGGAGTAATCCACCCGGAGTGGGCCATGAGAGAAGAGTAGTGATTGATGCACGTTGAAAATCAAGGCAAGGTACGAGCGAGCACGTTGAGACTGTATATTGTACAGATTTGTTTTATTTTGGTTGGTTGGTTGAGGTTCGCTGGGCTGTTCGAGCACAAACACGAGTCAGTTTTTGTGAACTTGGGAGACGTCCCACGGCAGGTGTCAGCCAGCTGTGGGTTGGTTCTGCTGCCTGGTGCTCTCTTCTTTTAATCTTGCGAGGGTGCTTTCATGAGTCATCCTACTCCGGAGGGATCACTTGTAAACATAATTTTCTTGGAGATAATGTTCAGTTGTTTTTTGCTCTCGTGAGCTCGGACGTACTTCGTAAGTGCAACCGCTGATGGAATGCGTGTGCAAATATGTAGCACCAACTTGAAGCGACGAGAACCGTTGCTTCGACTTAGAACCCCCCCAAAGGCTTGGTAGAGCCTGGTCCGGTGAGAACCCGGCGTGCTCCATCCCGACTTTATAGGAATGCGAGGTCATTGGTCTAACAACTACGGCATGCGCGACTATAAGTACCCCCCCCGCCCCAAAAGCTTGGTGTAGTTCTCGATGTTTGATACATTTTGC